GACATGTCTCTGGAGAGTAAAAGTTACTCAGTGATGCAAACTTGCACCGCTCAATCCAATTTGATGTTCTGCTAGGAAATTTGGTCTGTTCAGCCTGCAAAAACCTTTCATATGGATGATTTTGAAAAATGAAATCATGCAATCAATGGCAAGCTTTAGCTTGGCTGGTTATGACTAATCTTGTGTGCACATGCTTTATATTTTCAGAGTATGTGGTGGTTGCAACCGCGAAATTGGTTATGGAAATTATTTGGGATGCATGGGGACTTTTTTCCATCCGGAATGCTTCTGTTGTCATGCTTGTGGATACCCCATCACTGAGCATGAGGTAGGTTCTCTTACTCTTTCTTTTCTTTTCTTTTTTTTTTTTTGGGTCGTGCTCCTGTCAGAAAAATAATGCCACAGGATTTTTTTTCTCACTTCTCATCGATTTTCTTTGTTGATTCAAGTTCTCTTTGTCGGGAAAGAACGCATACCATAAGTCCTGCTTTAAAGAACTGACTCATCCCAAGTGTGAAGCCTGTCACCAATTTGTAAGGATGGAATTTGGCTGCAAATAACACGTTTGATATTGTATAATCAATGATCCACTATGGATACTAATAATCTACTGTTGATATATTTATAGATTCCAACAAATGGAGATGGCTTGATTGAGTACAAATGCCATCCATATTGGTCTCAGAAATATTGTCCTTCACACGAACATGACAACACAGCACGATGCTGTAGCTGTGAACGTTTGGAGGTATAAATTTTCCGAAGTTGGTTCTTGTTACTCATTTCACTGGAATTGATTTTCCACCACTTCCTCGACTTAATAGTTTTTTTTTTTTTTTTTAAACTGATTTCAAGTCTAGGAAGACTAGATATGTATCACTCGGAGATGGACGAAATTTATGCTTAGAGTGCTTGGAATCAGCTATCATGGATACTGGTGACTGCCAACCACTTTACCATGGCATCAGAGATTACTATGAAGGAATGAACATGAGAATCGATCAGGAAATTCCGATGCTTCTTGTTGAAAGACAAGCACTTAATGAGGCCATTGAAGGGGAAAAACATGTAATGATAGTTTTCATCTCCGTTCTTATGTTCATATATGTAGAAATTCGTTTAATTTAGAAAATTTTGCAGGGATTCCTGCACATGCCCGAAACGAGGGGTTTATGCCTGTCCGAAGAGCAGACTGTTACAAGTGTAAGATCTTCTGCATCCCTCCGTCTGCTTTTCCTTCATTTCCAATTTTAAGATATGACAAGTGCAATGCTATTTTTTTATGACCGTTATCCAGATACTGAAGAGACCAAGAATCGGGAGTCGTGGAATGGTAGGAATGAGAACTCAACCACAGAAGTTGACTCGCAGATGTGATGTTACAGCTATTCTGGTCTTGTATGGCTTGCCAAGGTAACATCTGATATTCGGTTTCATCTATCATCTATCATACAACCTTTCAGGGTAGTGGTCTGCAGTTTCTGCCCGGAACATCGGAATTTCGCTGCTTCGTAATTTCTGTCGTTTCATGTTGTAGTCATATGAAATGACAGTTTTGTCATGCGTCTAGGAGAGCATAAATTGATTCATTGCCAATGTTTTCAAGATGATGATACAGATTAGATCAATTCTTGCTGCTGCAGGTTACTGACTGGGGCGATCCTTGCGCACGAGCTAATGCACGGATGGTTACGTCTGAATGGTAATACATATTTATCTCTTTTCTCAAGGGGATGATTTATATGGATAAACGACAAACGCAGATGACTTGTTTTCTTATATATCGTTATTAATAGTCTATCATATTACTTTCTCGCGATACAGGCTACCGTAATCTGAATCCCGATGTAGAAGAAGGTATCTGCCAAGTGCTCTCATATATGTGGCTTGAGTCAGAAGTAATGCCGGGATCCAGAAATATTCCATCCACTTCCATGTCTTCATTGTCATCAACATGGTCATATGGATCGACAAGCAAGCCATCCACATCGACCGCTTCATCTTCATCTTCTTCATCATCGTCCAAGAAAGGTTACAACTCTAGCACAGAAAATAATCTAGGCCAATTTTTTATGCATCAGATTGCTAGTGATGCTTCTCCAGCTTATGGAGGAGGATTTAGATCAGCAATGTATGCAGTAAATAAGTATGGTTTACGCAGTACTTTGAAACATATTTACTGGACAGGAACTTTTCCATTGTAACTGTTTCTGTGTCGTGTTAACTTGTAACACCAATCAGCCTTCTGCCTGTTGGAGAACACGAAAAGACTTCCTCGTGAGGATTGAGTTGAAAATGCAAGGGTTGGATTAGCTCCTCCTGATTCTGTGGAATCCTAATGAGGGTACAAGTGCGAAAGCGACCTTGTGCAAATAAGAAGCATATTTTTCAATGAAATTACAAGACATTCCTATCTATGACTTTTGACCTTATTACTTCTAATATGAACAAGCAAATCTAAGTGCTTTGAAACATGTCTGAGCATATACCACAAATCACGGTTCAACGATACACTCTCTCCAGACCCTGGCCATCGAGTTTGTATGATCAACTCAACCCGACCATCCCCAGAACACGAGTAGGCATTTTCAATAAACTAAATTGACAAAAATGGTAACATGATCAATTACTACACCGGGAAAACCCCCTGTATAAGCAATCTTTTAACTACTATAAAAGTAGTAGTGTCAAATATTACACCCTAGACACAACATATTAGTACTTGGCCAAAATGTTTAATCACTTTCATATTAAACATAATCATCAAAGTACATTGCTAGATCGTCGGAGAGTCACAAGTTAGGCACCACACCGGTGTCAAGCTGACCCCCCGAAACAAATACATCTACATTGTCATCCCTAGATTCTTGACATCTAGGGTCATTAACAAAATGGAATAGATCCTTCAGAAATCTAGTTCATATGTCAATAACATATTTGGTACATTAGTATAGGATGTTTTCCCCATATATAGATTCATGGTAATCAAATCAACCACAATAAATAGGGCACTACGGTGGTCATAAATATCAACACTTCTCATCTATTCACGCACACCACCATTTAATAAGGGATCCTATCTTTAGATAGCCAGATGCCAACTAGTCAACTTTCAGGAATATTTGAGAGAAGTTGGTTCAATTTTTCATATGTCATGAAGACAATACCCACACCTGGTACAACCTTGTAATATTCAATCAGAATCCCTCGGTACAAACCTCGCAGGCCTTCAGTCCTGATTATATGCCTGAATGTACCAAAAAGACCCATCTTATAAACAAGAGCCCTACCACCAGCTCCTTCCAACTGCATTCGTCGCCTCACGAGATCCAGAGGAAATGTAACTGCAAAAGAATATGGCATGAGCTCATATAAAATCAGCTCCACATTCTGGCTGAAGCAAGTAACCGTTCTGTGTTTAGAACTCATTTATGTTTCTGTCCAATAATTAACACAACACAAAACATAAATGGCATAAAACATATCTCAACAGGATATCTAGGTTACTAACACATTAATTTAGAATATGATGTGTTTTGATAATTTAAACTTCAAAATTGCAACATTGAACTGCCTGTGACCTGTTTCCAATAATAGGTAGACCTAAATGTAATAACAGGCTATATTGCCCGTTTGGCCCAGCAAAAATGAAACTAGAAAGAGATGACACTAGAAAATTAAGGAGGCCTAACAATGCTGTTCACGAGGCTGCCAGAATCTTAGATCTTGACTTGAATGATAATTATAACTGGATTTTTGTAAAGAAAAGGGGTATCAGAAAGTTCATTTTTGCTTTAATTTAACTAATAGGTATTAGTAGTATAATCGTTTATGAGCATCATCGAGGATATTTTAATCTTTTTACAATATTAGAACAACATTGATTTTTTCAAAACTATAGCACTTTTCTCTTCATTGACATTTTCTTTCATCTTCTTCTCATTCTTAATGGGGTTCGGGGATTGGAGTGGGGCAAAGATTGCAGGACTGACTCATTCAAGTCTAATTAGGTAAAGAAATAGAAAGAAATGCACCAATGAGATCTTATACATTCAACTATAATCAGGGAACAACGGACATGCGAAGCCTAACCGAGAAGCATACCTCAAAGAGGACACCTCTCACAATTTGGTAACAGCAGAACTTGACTCACCAAGAATTAGCCAGCTATAACAGAGCCAACTGCATATTTGGAGAGCCAAGTTATCCACAAGTGCCAAGTTATACCAACCAATATCCTTATAAAGTTTGTTAGTGAATAAGAGAAAAGTAAAAGATATTTTCTGACTTCCTTACAAAAGGCCCGTATTCCAATATTAACATGTTGGGACCTCTGGCTCTAGGGGTCAGTCTTGTTAGATACCTTAGAGAAGCCTGCACTTCAACCTGCTTCTCTGCATCAAAAGCATTGAAGACAGCTACAGGCATTAAGATCCTTCACTACAATTGTCTAATGATTTATAGTTGCAGAGAAGACATTACATGTACATCATACATGTGGATGGTTAGAGTTTTGCGATAGTTGGGATTCTTATCCTCACTTTATTTTATCACAAGTATGGAGTCTGAAAATGCAGAAAACAACTCTTTGGGACAATATAAAAATGAAACCTTTCACTGTCATCAAACTCCGCTTGTCAGAAAATTGGTAACCTTTGACAAAACACAAGAACATACAAAACTTCAATTTTCTTTAGGAGTTGTTTTATGCTAGTCATAGTACTCACCTGTTGATGATGCAATGCCAGAGAGACTCCCACATGCAAGGCTGACCAAACCAGTTGAGTCATCGGGTCTGATGCCACAAATAAGTACAGGTAAGTTACTCAAATTTTTCTACAAGTTTAATTTGTATTTTGTGAAGGAGCTCAACTCATAATCAAGAATTTGTTTCATCATAACATTTCGAAGTCCAAAAAGTAGCTACATCAATCTATGGTGTCTTACCTGCGATAGTGCCAATAAGATCTTACTGTGTCGTACACTGAGAAGCTGATAGCCAAATTTGGGCCTACCCCCTGCATTGTTACCCAAACTGCAATTATCCAATAGAGGAAAAGGACACTAAAGTCATTAATGAATCAAAGCACATTAAAAATTACCAACAAAGTTGCCCCAAGTCCTTTATAAAGGCCAAAGACTCCTTCCTCCTTGCTAATGGTATGTAAAGCATGAGATATTCCTCTGTAATAGACCACGTTTGTCTGCGCAATCAGAAAGAAGATTAAAAGGAAACTCCTATAATATTGTGTTTATAGTGCATAGGGAAGAGAATAAAAGGATCAACAAGACATTAAAAGGCCAATTATGAGGGAGGGCCTAATAGCTAT